AAGCGGCGAACAAGATGTCACCGTCTGTTTGCGAGCAGAAGATGATGACGTCGAGTGACGACGAGGAAATCCGGAGGAATGTTTATGAAGTGTATAAAACCGGCGGATGTGGTCTGACTATGCACAGAGCGACGCAGAGACAGAGTTACGGGGTTACATTTTCATTTCGTCGACAAATTCACCCCTAAATCGCGGCTGACAGTGCTCTGCAGGAACGAATTAATCTTTCAGCGTGCTCCCGAACCGGGCCCCTTTATGATCATGAACAGAGGAAAAATGAGCGACGAATGGGACGTTATATTTAATGAAAATAATCCAGAGGATTGTTCTTCACTTTTTTGGTAAATTAGAGGGTACGTTTATTTGTTCAACGGCCTTGCTCGGGATTGCAATATGCTTACAATAAGAACAAAAGAAGGTTAGCGAATTATTATGAGAGTGAATTATGGAAAATGTGTGCGAGAATAGAGTTGAATACGTATATGGTGAGAGATACTTAAATAAATGAGGAACCCGTGAAAGAGCAAACAAATTTCAGATTTATTCAATGAAAATATTTCCAACTCCCAGGTTCCTCAACTGATTTATTCCTTCGAGAAAGGAATTCATAAATAATTTATGAAATAAGACAAAATCATACGAGAAGCTCATCACTCCAAATGTATTTAATATCTTAATTTACTTAAACAAGTATACTCAGAGAAACACACTTTTATTTCGAATGAAATTTTTAAGTGCTCTCTTAACGTCCAAGACCGTTTCAGTTCATCTTTTATTTATTTATGCAAAATTCGTACCTAGAGAAGAATTCAGTCCCTACCTGGTGCCAACTAATAGTTAACAGGCTCCGGAATTCGATAAGGGATCCCATTCCCTATAGAATTTCGAGCAGACGTCCCTCCCAACGGGAATGTTGATTGAGCATTAATTACCCAGATAATTGATAGTGAAAATCGAAGCTACTGATAGAAGCTCGGAAGACAGTAACACTAAACTAGCTTTCAAAGGCACTTAAAAAGAGGACTTATCGAACGCCTCGTAGATTATTGATCCAACGGCTTCCGGTCTAAGCAAACCGACCTTTTAGGAAAAATTTCTTCAACGAGTGTCGAGCCTAGTCCGCAGGCGCATTTTCCTCGCGGCAGGTGGCTCGTTAAGGCTTCCAGTGTTATCGTTATCGCGTCGAAGCCTAGGAACTTCGATTTTCAATTATCCCGGTGATTAGCACCGAGTCCGAGCCCCTGGCGAGAAGAAGTTTGCTTGGAATTTCACTAGAGAAGCAGAACTGAATAAAATTAATAGATTCCATTTCGAAACTGCGCTCAGTTTTACCATTTTTCCACGTATATTCATCGAGGGTTTCAAACATTTTCGTGTGACTCATATTTAATTGTTTATGTATGCATTGTTTTAAAAAATCGAGATTTAGTGAAATCTATGATCTACGATCTACAAATTATATGTGTACATTTAGCTTTTCCATTTAAAACAAATTTCGTCTAGTTCGGAAAGAATTTCGAATGTAAAGGGTTGAAGATAATATTGAAGCGGCGAAGTTAAGTTCTGTTGGAATATTCTTCCTCGAGTTAGAATGTTCTATGAACCAGTGCCTGGAACATGATAATCCCAGGAAGATTCTTGTCGTCCTGACAAAAAGACCAGCCGAAGCAACGGAGTTGAACAGGACGGGCTAGTTTTTATTCTACCCCATTAGGAGGAAGCTTCCCAAACGGGCCATCGAATGGGCGGCGCGCGCCCCGCTATTACGCATTCATGAAGATTATGCGCATTTCGGGCACGTCCCGCGTGGGAGATTGGACCGAGATTGTCCTTATCGTCATAAATCACTCGATTGATACCGCCCAATGTTTCAATGCCATAAAAGATGTCACTAATAAATTCTGTAGATCATCGAGACCTTGAACTGGCCTTGAAGAGGGGGATCGATATGATAGTGATACCTTCTATGGCGATAAAAAATTATAAACAGCTATAGAATTATTTACTGTTGAGTTACCACCTAATTCGTGTTATAAAATTCATGAACTGATTATTTTTGTTCTTGACTTTTAAGACAACTGTAAATTACATTACAGCAATTTGGCGGTAGCCTTTAAACTCAGAAAATACCTTAAACAAAAGAGTTATATAAATAATCTATTTCAACAGAACAGGGCAGATTAAAGACATTAATTTTATGTTTAAAAAATGTTGTAATTAATAAGAAGTACATAAAAGAAATACTTAATCACAGCAATATTTTCTAGGGTATTTTTATACAATAAACGCGATTGCTCAAAAACTGTGAGAACAATAACATACTTGCAAAGATGCTAAAGTGGTATATGAAAGTCATTAATTAAGAACCTTCCTAGAACAATCTAATTCTACTATTTTTAATATCTTACTAACTCGTTAACCTATACTAAATTCTTAAGAACACTCTCCCTTCGTAAGCAAAATGATAGGTGAAACGACGTCGTTCGTGGTCTCACCTGACTCAACGTAAAAAAAAGACCGTTTTCATTAGGAAAAGCCACCGTGAAACCTAATATTTTTCCCTTAACAAAGTTTGTTGCGCGACACGAACTTGCGACAGACTTCATTAAAAATGAAGAAGAAAACTCGGCGCTAATACCTTGTGTGAAGAAGGTAAAATTTCGAACATAATGATCCCTTCGCGTGCTTTTGATAAAGCATCTACCTGAGACTCGTTGGTGACGATGGAAAAAGAAAGTAACGAGAAGGAGTGCAGGGCGTTGAGATGAAATTAAAATCATAAAGGGTAACAGGACTCTTGGCAACAATTTATATGCGCTGAAATTGGTTCTGTGTAGCGTAAATCGTCTGCAATGGTTATTTTTATGTAATTATCGATCACGATTATAATTCAGTCGAGCGTAACGAGCGACAATTATGCATTATTCTAATGAACATTCATATTTTATCTAGGCAGACTTCGAATTAAATGAACTAGTGGGTAATTGCATGCCGTAGAATAAAGCTAATTTTGTTTAAAATTATTACTTTACGTTGCATTCATAATTATAATTAATATGAGGTTTATTACGTTAATGATCTTACTAATATTGTACTTTGATCTGTCATTCTAAAATTAGATGAATAATTTATCCTCCAGAAGAAGAAGCAGGGAACACTGAAATTTGTAAGAGGACTAAAAGATTAAGGCTGTAACATCACGTGACTATTTCCAGCGTTTGATGTCGCAGGATTAAAGTAATAAAAGAGAAAGGACAAACGAACTAATCTATCCTGGAAAGACCAATGAGTACAGTACACTTGGCACTAATTAGTAAACTGCGGTCGCAGAGACTTCAAAGTTTTGTTGAGCATCATAACAGTCACTGTATTACAATACATACGTAATATATTATTAACTGCAAAGTTTCGATATAACATACTCAATAGAATGCTCAACACACACAGTCACTTTCTAATAAACTATACCTTTACTTCGCAACAAACTCAATTAATTATACTCGAAAAAGTTCTTGCAACTTGACGAAACACGAGTATGAATATCCACCAAGTTTCAAATCGAAATGTCTAACATTCTCCCCCAAAAAATCTCAAATATTGTGAAATTATAGTCTAAGGAGACAGGCCTCAGATAGATCGTCTAAACTCGTACCACGAGCTAGTGCTAAGTACAGCGATCATCAACACGATAACCCTAATGACATACGCGATCAAGAGATCATTGGCATCGCGCGTTACAGAATTCGCAAACAATCTAGCCGATTGCCACGCGTTGCAGATCGGAGACGACGTCGACGCAATGCAAACACCAATTTGCGTCAGCCGCTTTAAGTGGTTCAGCGCAATGATCACGTGAACGTTTCCACTTTACGGTGGCATTTTGCGCGCCTTAGCAACGTCCGTTATTAAATTTCTAACTATGGGGGTTTAATGTATGCACTGTCGTTCTCGGCCGACGACGGGGGCCAAGCATTTAGGATGCGGTTAAATATGATTGCGCTTATTACCGACATAATATTGCCTTTAACGCGGCTGTTCGACCAGGTGCTCGGGAAGACGCGAAGAGACATCTCGCTGGAACGAGCAGCGAGAATAAACGAGGGGCTGAAAGCAGTCACGGAAACTGAAATGATGCAACAGTTACAGATTGCAAAATTAAAAGTTTCTTTACGTTTCTAAAAATATATTCAACCCATTCACTTCGAGATTTAGTAGAAATCAATTGCAATCACTCGAGGGATAAGTTTATAGCCTTCTGAGTTGCGAATTATTGCAAAAGAAGATTGTATATTTTTTTCTTTTGAACAACAAATTTAATATCACTTTTTATTATCAGAATAAGAAACTAGATTACACATCTGTATTAAATATGGGCGTACAAGGCAAAACACTTTAAATTTGCCAGGCAGTGAATGGGTTAAATCAATAGTGCATGAATTGTTAATTCATTTATTATCAAACTTGATTCCTGCTTGAGCAACTGTCATCTTGCATAAATCTGATGTCAAAGAAAATGTTCAGAACCTTTTCAATCTATAAACGTTACTGTACGACATCATTTTTGTATCGCTTATTTTTGTAACCTTCCAACCCCTGCAACGAATGGACGTATCACGCGTAAGAAAGCCTTTCGATCAACAATCTTCAAGTTCGATGAACTTTCATTGCACGAATCGATTAACTTCATAAAACAAAAAGTTGAGAAATGCGATGAAATAATGTACATTGTTTTTTTAAATTCCCTTTTATGATACATATTCAAATAAATATTGTAGAATGGATAAGTACAGATTTTACAGATGTAGCTTTCATCGAACGGCATATAAAATTAGTAAGAATGAATATCAAAAAAATAATCAGTAATGTTACAGTGATGTTACAATTTTTATGTGTCTGGTGGAGTTAATCGAATTGTGCAGTGAACGGCTCGATTAATAATAATATTCAATAATTGAAACAGTGAAAAATCCCAAAATCTAACAACGTCGAACATTCAGTACAGAGCCCCTACAAGACTAATTCTAATAAACATTTTAATCTTCCAAACAGGACACCATCTTCATCAACTTACAAAAACAGTTTCAACTCGAACAGCACTTGCTATTCTTTACATACTTTACATACAAACATTCTCTAACCAAACATCCCTATTATTAAATCGTCCCTATCAATTCAATTCCAAACCACCAAAAACTCTACACACGTACAGCCAAAAATCTCTCAAAAATCTCTGAACACAGCCACGAGGCTAATTACTTCCTCTATCGTCCGCCTGTTCAGCGCTCTTAACGTCCACCCTGTTGGTCTTCCTAGCCATAAACATCTCGATCTCCTGCAACGTCTTATCCTTCGTCTCTGGCAGCGTCAGATACAAAATACAAGTGCCTACCAGCGCCACGAGTCCGTAAATCGCGAACGTTCCATATTGCTGCAGCGACAGAATCATCCCCGGCGCAATTTTCACCACCGCGAATGTGGACATGAATGAGAATCCAGTCGCGATCCCAGAGCCCAAGCCTTTCAACTTCCTAGGAAATAGCTCGCCGGTGAGTATCCACGGCAGCGGCAACAAACCCATCGTCGAGAACACTATGTACAAAAGCAGGGCGACGCACGAGCACCAAGGTTGTCCAAATTCGAAGTAAATAGAGAGGCTCAAGAGAAACAACGCAATCGCCGAGCCGAATCCAGACACGAAGGTCATCGTCCTCCTGCTTCTCTTCTTGATCAGGTAACAAGTAATGGCGCTAGTGACCAGCCGTATCACGTCCACTACTAGGGTACCGACGTGAGCATTTTCAGGTCCAGTCACTTCCATCAGCAACTCCACAGAGTAATAAACCACGACATTGTACCCCGAAAACTGAGCAGTGAAGAAGAACAGACACATCAGCCCTAAAGGCCACAGAAAGAATCTAGACGTGAAGGTCGTCCTCAGCTTGACATAGAGCGAACGTTTCACCGTCTTTCGTCCCCGAGTCCTGGAGTTCTCCAAAGCCTGATACTCGTCCAATGACTTCCATCCGCGTAAGTATATCCATGACTCCCGTGCTTGATCCGTACGACCTTTGTTTATCAGCCACGTGGGACTCTCCTTGGCTGCGATGCAAATCAGCGAACTGATAGCCGCGAATCCCGCGCAGATGTACGCCGTCGTCCTCCAGTAGAGCCAAGTTCCCAGAGCGTGGACGGCTAGGATCCCGAACGACAGGGTTAGGATGACCATGTTCAGCAGCATGCCGCGTAAGTCGGGATCCGACGTCTCGCCGATGTAGATAGGCGTCACGGCGCCCATGATCCCGGAACAGAAGCCGGTGATTATTCTTCCGACCAGAAGACTCGCGATGTCGGGGGCGAAACCGATCGTCGCCCATCCAATGAAGAACAGAGGGTACGCCAGCGCCGTGGACTTCCTCCTGCCTATCTTTTCTAGCATCACGCCAGATAGCCAACATCCGGGCGCCATCGACGGGATCGGCGAAGAGGCTATCCAGGATTGCTCGTTGACGGTGGGTCGTTCGAAGTCCTCGTCATCGGTCGAGACTTTCAGTTGAGGCAGGAGCACGGCGCTGTATCCCGACGCCAAACCGACCAAGAAGATGCCCAACAGAGGACTCAGAGCAGTAAGCAGCTGCCTGACGCGCAGCCTGAGGTCAGACGCGTCGGCTTGGCCGCAGTTCTTCTCCATCGTGGCTCGCAGCTGGATACGCACTCGGCCGACGAACAATCGGCACTGACATGTTCCGCGAAGTTCGTTTTGATTACGACGCGACAATTGCGGAGTCAATTCGCTGTTTAAACAAAGAGCGGTTGGAAGTGTCTCGATGACAGGCGTGACCCAGTCTCGATACTGTGAAAGTTTCTATTAATGTAACCTCTATCGGCGCTGATCGATCTCTTCAAGCGAAGGATTCTTCCTTGAGAATGAATGTTCAGAGAATGGCTTGGTGGAACGTTTATAGAGACAATTTCGGAGGTCTGATAGATACTGTACTCAATGGAGAGGAAGTATGGATATGAAGAATCGATAAGTGGTGTACAAGGGTCGTATGCGAATGAGGATCATCTTAGTGGACGTATCCTCTTTGAAGGACTTCGAGCTCTGAGCTTTGAGCTTCGTGACCGTTTTGCCTCCTTCTACGAGCGCGGATAACCAATCAGGACTAGGCTGATATCGTGATCGCGGAATTGAGTCAAGTGATTCTACGTAACTCCGCACAATAAGAGCTAATTATACGGGTCAAAGTGAGATCTATTCCGAACCTATTTGCTAAGACTCTATGCCTGATGCGTGGGGTGAGGTGAATGACGATACTTTCTGTTTCGCTTCTGCACGTTTATCTCTACAATTTCCGTCGACACTTGCGTCAGTTCTCAGACATCGGTCTTAACGATCACGAGTATGCTTCTCACGTTGGCATTCAGTATCGAGTATAGATAGAAAAGTTCACGGACAATGAACTACACTGACCCGTGATACACTTGCATGGTCACGTAATAGCATTTTTCAGTGTCACCGATTACGTACAAAATTCCAGACTCAATAATTTTGTTTGTCATTGCTTACAATCGATCTCTAAAAAGATTATTTAAATAATACCAACTGGAAGTGGCGAGTAATGGATTTTAACACTGGCACTATGGTACTACTGGTACAAACATTAAATACTTAACTAATGACTTTATCAAAATTGATAAATGGATTTTCTCATACTATAAAAATCAAGTAAAATTGTCTATTATTGAAATAATAAGTAACATAACGTATCGATATTTAAATCTGACAATTTTTGAACAGAGTGTCCTTCGAGGCACCTAGGTAATCCTTGTCGAACTAGGAAACTGAGAGATCCTTTTCAACTTCCAACGGTTTCATCCGTACCTGCTCGTATACGTCGCTAATGCCATTCCGAAACGCCAGAAGTCGTCGAACGTTCCGCGAGAAAAAAAAAGCCAGCCACGAAACGAGAAAGGAAGAGGGAGCCGAGGTAGTCACTCGATCAATTTCACCCCGACTTCCCAAGCAGGAGTGAGTTCTCTCGGTCGTTTTCGGAGTTCAGAAGCCGTTTAAAATTCCCTGGCCCGCGATCGAGGAGCCAATAAAAATCAAGAAATCAGCTCGGTAAACAGGAAGCCCGACGGATTCCACTCGATTCCATTACGGGGCCTTCCCAGCTTCTTTGATGCACGGCAAATATGCTCCTTCTTTCACTTGCGGCCAGAGACGAGGAAAAATTCTTATCTATATCAAAATCTCGAGTAACGAATTAAAGATAAACAACATTTGATGGGTCGTTCGTTCAATCGAAATTACCATCTGAATTGTGCGTGCAGGCAGAAAATCTGAATATTTTTTTAGTTTGTTGTACGGAGGGCAACGCTTATTTATTTTTAATTCGTTGAATGTTCCACCTTTTTCGAGTTTGAAAAGGTACGTATAGAAAGGACCTCGAAATTAATGGCAGACGTATCCAAATTCAATGGAGACGAAGTTAGGAAAATAAAATAACGGATAATAAAAGATAACGTAAAGATGGATAGTCATATTCGAGGAGATCCACATGTCCATATAAAACCCTGCAATAAATGCGTTAAATCAAATACAAACAAACGAAATAAAGAATAAAATTCTGCTCATCTCTGCTCTCAGCCCGCCACTCCACTTTCTCTCCCTTTCTCGCGGAGAAACGCGTCTTTTAATGCAGAAAACCCTCCAAAGTCTCGTTACCATGTGAGACTCTCCGCCGTGCCCGCGCGACAAAGAGGTCTTTTTAACAGTGCACGCCTTTATAAGAGAACACGAGGAGAATCACGAGGAGTCCCAGCTCTCCTGGGCGTGTTTCGACGTGCTTGAAAAGAGCAGACCGAATAAAATACCCAGGGAAACTAGTTTCTTCTCTCATTTGGAAGGCGACGTTCCTGCGACTACGGCAGACAACGCAACCGACTCGTGTGGGATAATAAACTTTGCCGTCGACTCGGCGTGACACTGTAATACACGCTTGCAAGTGACAATTTTTGGCGAATGAGTGGACGACTCATTGGAGCGAAGCTTCGTTCTCTTTCAATTGGGACCAAAATGGAGACCCGTTCTCGAGAGCATCGCGAAGGTAGTCTGATGTTTGTAAAGATGGAGGAGGATAAGTTTCCTTAGTCTCTCCATCTTGCACAGGGTCTCATTTACTCCCAATTAAATACGACGCTACCCTTTTCCCCTTTCTCGCATTTTAAAAGTCCCATTTTCACCTCAAAAATAACCTCGAAAAATAAATCATGCTTCGCACCACAGAACTTGAATACTGTCATCTTATTACCAACAAGGTAATATCGATATTCATATTTTTTAAAGTATTTACAGTATGTCCTAATGTACTTTTATATATATCACTAATATTTATACTATTGTAACAAACACAGACCCAACTCCCAGTTTCGTTTTAAATGACCCACAACGAACCCGCGCACCTGTTACACCTCTACCCCTGTAATTTAATCAACTACAGCTTGTATTCTCGACGAAACCGTCGATACACCCAAAATCTCGTTAGACCGTTAATAACGTGTCCCATAACTCTCGTGTTACTCCGTCTCGCGAGCATAATACGCGCCGCGTCGCTTTATTAGTTCCCCCTCCCCCCGGGGGGGCGTAACGCGAACTTTTGCTGGCTCTACCCCCAACAAAGGGTGCGTGAAAGTGGCTGCACGGGATACTTAAGCCCGCGGACCAGGTGAAACCACCTGGCGAGGGGTTGTGCGGGACGGGGAGGAAGATTGATGCGGCTGGCACCATGGAAAAATAACACTGGCAACATTGTTGCGAGAGTTTCAAAATATTAGTTTAGGGAAGGGATCAAGTTTTCTCGCTTTTAATATATGAAGCTTTTGGTTAAAAATGTTAGGCCCACGAGAGAATACAACGACCCTTGGATTGGTATCAGACCGAATTGTTTAAAATTTCTAAAAGTTACCCTAACATATTTCTTGATTTTCCGGTAAATTTAGAAGTCGGATTGTTGAGATATAAATCAAAACAGTGGTTAACATATATATATACATACATACAGTCAGTCTCATAACTATTCGTGCCATCTATGTTTATTGAAGAAATTTGTTTAAATTGAATGGTATGTTTGATGTTTCCAGGTGTATGTTTATATAAATATGTTGATGTATATATAAATATATACATGTATAACGAAAACTTCATTTGGTAATATCAAAACTGTTATTAAATTTAGACAAATTCCTTCAATAAACACAAATGGTACGAATATTTATAGGACCGACTGTATGCGTAGAAGTATCATAAAACATACAGAATTTTCATGAAAAAGTGAGTAGCATCGAAGGACTATGTATTATGTAGACATCACTACGCCAAGTTACATGATTTTCTAGGAAACCATTCCTGAGACATGCACACATGCATATATGCACACATTTCTAGATTACCAATTATCTCAAAAATGAAATAGAATAAAATCTTCACGAACAGATGTCCTAATATCAAATTTCACGATCCCCTGATGAACCACCCCCGAGATATAAAGTCAAACGGAAGCCAATATCCACAGATGCATCCAAACATACAGAGTTTTGTACCTGGCTCCTCGAATTTTTGGTGCCAGAGCACTTCATGGCATACTGAGAAATGCAAAGAAACGTCGCAGGGTAGAGTTCTGGCCGATAGCAATGCTTCCCCTTCTGTTCTATTCAACAGCTGGGAAAGTAACAACTCGCGTGGGATGCGTTTGTTCGGGTCTCCGGGCGATGATAGAGGACACGGCGAAGGGAAAGTTTCAGGAACAAGCAAATGACGCTCAACGTATTGTGCAAGGTGATTCTAGAACAGGTTGTTGACCTTTGGGAGTGTAATCCACTCGACTCGGGGACAAAATAAGGACCTGTGCCTGTGGGAGCGGAAAGTTGGCTTCTGAAACTTTCTGGACTTGTAAGCTGCGAACATTTTTTCTGTGTGTGTTGGAAATTAGCAAAGACCCTGACATTGGCTACTATGTGTGAACACTAGTTACACTATTATCCCGTAAAACTATGAATTTAATTCATCTAATCAATATACACTGAGGATATTAATTCGTTACAGCAGTTCCTGCTTTCTAAAGCAAAATCTTACTTCATTCGAAAGCAGGAGCACTTTTAATTTTTAAATATGGTGCGGCGCAATTGCTTCTAGCGAGTACAGAAATTCCCGCTTTTAAGTGAATGTAGGAAATTTGAAAGCAGGAACTCTTTTAATTTGTAAAAATGGTGCAATATAATTGCTTCCTAGTTACTAGTAATTTATGATAAAAAAAAAAAATGCTTGCAGCGTAAAGAGTTAATAATCTAACGAGTTTTTAATGAATTTTTTTTTAAGTAGGACAAGAACGGCGTCCACTTCAATGGCAGGTTTTTTAAGAACGCTGCGTGACCTTTGAAAACTCCATAGCGCAAGGGAAGGAGGCGTTTCTATGCCCTTGAATACGGGATCTTTTTCAAAGTAAGCAGAATACGCTTTCAAAATTTCGAGTCAGGCTATACATCGAGCTGCCGTCGAGAGGGAAAGCTTTTCATGTAGAAAGCCGTCCTTTTCGACGATGGAACGCGATGCTTTTTGCCATGGTACGGTTATATCCCCGTGGAAGCACCATGGAAAAGCATCGACGGACGAGGGGAGGGTGTAAAATTGATGTATGAGACAGGTCGATCAATAGAGGTCTTCGTAACAAACTATACAAAGGTCTAACCGTGTAGGAGTAACAGTCACGAGTTGAGAAATGTGCTCGCTTAGGGTCGAGATTGGCTTGTATTACAATGGCTTGTAGAATCTCGACGACCCCCTCTTAACAGGAAATACGGGAGAAGGGAAGAAAATATTGATACGTACGTAGATATTGATAAGGAAGAATTAGGGACCGAAGTAAGTATACCCGAATAATAATTCAAGCACATGGAAATCGTTATACTATTAATTTGTTAAAAAAATAATTAATATTTTAGTTAATCTTTGTGAGAGTACTTGAAGTTCTTTTTCTTGTTTCTTGAGACTTCGATTCAGGTATATAACAATTTATTTGTCGACGAGGGAAATTATAATAACCACTGAAAAAATCAACAAGTACAATCAATAACGTTTTGAATTAAGTATCCATTTGATACTCGTTACGCTTGACTAAAATCAATTTAGATTATCGTGAAAAAAGAGAACAATGACTTAGATCGATTCCAGCCTGAGATTATTTCTTATTCCTAATAATTTGATACTCGAGTTCAGAAACGACTTACTAAATCTTGACTTCGTGTGGTGCTCTATTATACACTTTAATTAACAGGATTCGTTAGAAAAAACCCAATTAAATTTCTCGCGTAGCCAATTCAACGGCAGAATAAAGAAAGCGGAACGTGATTATGGTGATTATACCGGTAAGAAAACAGCGCGCAATCAATATTTCGCAATTAAGACCAGTCACGAGACAGGGGGAATGAAAAACGCGAACGATAATCAGTCGATTGAATGATCAGTGTATCGGCATGTCTAAGGATCGTGTGCGTATCACACAACCTTTCAAGACAGAGACGAATGGAACAATTCGAACAATGAACGACGAATAATATCTCCCTATACCGATTTAATCGGAATTATCGGTCCGTAA